AGCAAAAGCATTCTCTGATAGGGGCGGCTCTCTGCTTCCGTTGACGGCCCTGTTGCGTATCCAGGGCGGGGCGGGGCGGGGCGTGTCAGCAAACGTCTTTCGCTACATGCAGGCGAGTTTAAAACGGCAGCGACATAACTGACCAAAGCGTATAAGGACAAAAGGCCACTTTCATTATGTGGAAGCGGCGTACGGTTGGGGGCGGACGGTTAGTAGCTCTATAATGGCAAAAATTTAGCAGCTTTAAGCTGAATTGTTTCCGTCGTGTCGTGATATCTGACATAGAGAAGGTCGTCTATTATTCAAATGCAGTTCACAAAAGTCACGCACTTTCTATCTAAGCTTGGGCGACTGCCCGCGAGAGGAAAGAGGGAAAAATACAGGAAAAAATAATAAAGAGCCCTATACAGAAAAATACAAGCAGCAGGGAAATAAAAACGAAACCGTTACACCAGAGGACATATGCGTGGGGCAATCCGTCGGTTTGACTTCTCCCCGTCACATACACACAAGGATCACATCAGCCGGCTCGGGCCGCTGCTATGCAAAAGAATGCTGCCACTTCCATGTCCTTGCAACCCTGCCCTTGGCGGCGACGTCGTCCCCCCGGCTCGCGGTCCCCGAGGAGCGGCAGAGGCCAGTTGTTGGCCGCGAGAGCAGAGCAGGCAGGGGATGCAGGGTCAAGAGCAGAGGAGCATCGCACCGGCCGGACGGGATGCTGGCCGGGACTGGACCGGCGAGACAATGCGTTTATAATTGCAGAGGTGAGGCGAGGCGCGTATGGAAATGAACCCCGACCTTGGCCGCGGGAGGGGTTAGAACAGCGACGGGCTAACGCCCCGCGGGGTGGAAGGGGGTGATCAACGGGCGCACGTTGCGGCTGAGAGAGATGTCTCATATCCGATGGGAGCTTATACGAACGCGATGCTGATGCTTCCATTACCGTGACGCGGCGACAACACAACAACAGTTTTGTTGCTGAAATCTCGTGATTTGGGGGAGAATCTGCTGCTATATGGGCTGCTGGCCCCGCGCGCTTGCTCTGCCTGCACTGCGAGGCGTAATCCTCATCGCGTATTGATCGGGGAGTCCTATTGTGTGTGTCCTGCCCTGCCCGGCTCCACTGACAAACACGTGACTGCATCACGTCATCTCAGATGCGCTGCTGCCAGCTCGCGAGACGGAAAAGAGTATTTGAACCGATACTGCCCGTTTTTGGTGCCCGTTTTGGTCCCCGTTGGTGCCCGTTGGTGCCGGTTGGTGCTCGTTTGGTGCCCGTTGGTGCTCGTTTGGGGTTCGTTTGGTGCCCGTTGGTGCCCGTTGGCTTTGGTGCCCGTTTGGTCCATGGCTTGGCCTGGCACGGCCGCGGACCGGCCGCGTATGGACAATGCAAGGCTTTAGTGCCACCCGATTGTGTCGATGCCGTAAACACAAGCGTCGCCCCGGTGGGTGACACATATTTAGGTAAGCATTGTTGTCGAGTGCGCCGCGCTGCTGCGACACCCGCAAACCACACTGCGCTGCACAACAGAAGGGGTTTATATGCCAAACGGAACGACAACAACTGCGCCGGAAGTGGCGTGGAGTAGTTGTGCTGTCTGGCAGCAACGGGCGTTATCTCAACGGCAGTGCAGCAGCAGCAGCTCGGCATGATGGAGCGGCAACACCTGCATCTGCTGCAGCAGGTGAGCAATGCAGAGGGGCCCAACGCGCCGGACACACACTCACCGTCACACACAGCCACACACATCGTCACACACACCGTCACAGACTCGCCAAGCGTTTCCGCCGGCCTTGCATTGCAAGCGACACCGCCTCAGCTCGGCCAGCCGATCGCGATGACGTCCCTACTGGGCGAAAGTGTCAATCAGCCAACAACAGAGAGGACTGCCTGGCGATCGCTATGAGGAATTAGCCTTCTTTTTTCCCCACTCTTCGATTTCATCAAATGCACCCCGAATCAGTAAAGGGATAAGAAGAGAAGAAAAAATGGAGCTTCATTTCGTTTATAAAACGGTTTTACTCCTTTTTTTTTGCGTGTGTTGGCGGATCCGAACTTTTTCCCGAATAAAACATTGGCTTCCCCTTACCCTTTTCGCGAGTGGGCCAGCAGCTCCTGTATTGATTTGCCACTGCCGCTTTCTCGACAGAATTCACGAAAACGCATCGCAACAGAAGTATCATATGGAGGTGTGAATTTGTGGGACACGGTCCGGAGGGTTATCAGAGGGGAGGAAAGGTCGCGGATCACCCCCCTATATCCCTCCGTCCCGTCGCTACCCCCAATCACACACTTTTATTCCTTTTTTGAGGGAAAATTAGGGTCAGTACTAAGACACGTGTATCGCGAGATTCTTCTCGAAATCCGTACCAGGCAGACATGGAGGACGGGAGAAGGGCAGGGGGCGAAGCACAGACAGGTAACAGCCCCGAGGCTACTTCCGACTCGACATAACCCTTGGGAAAGGATTAAATCTTGACGAGGAAACAAGAAAGCGTTATGAGAAAACGAAATTTCGGGGGGAAAAAAGTGGGAGCTGGAGGTGGGAATAAAAATATAGGTAAAACAAGGAAAGGAGTGGACGTTCAAGTATCGAGATATGTGATTGGCGGTTATTTCGCAAGGGACGACTGATGCCTGGGTCAGCGTGAGTTTGAGTGTGAATGTATGTGTGTGTGTGTGTGTCGCAAGAGGGCGAGAGAGAGCGAGATAGATACAGAGAAAGAGAGGGGGGGGGGGTAGAGGCACAATGCAGTTATCACAAAAGGACATAGTCTGGACAGACGCAATGCATCTGTATGATGAATCCAAGTTGAAAGAAAGGTGGGCTGCCCCTTACGTGCGCGGCGTGACTGTCACGCGTATTGGGGACCGGGGAAAAGGGGGGGGGGGGGGGAGGGGAGTGGGGCGCCACTCTTGGCGCGGGTTGTACCGGCGAGCCGAACGCCAAAGCGCAGGAGACAGATGTGTCGATTGACATCTGCACTACATATCGTGTCTCGTCCGCTACCTGCAGTCGTCTCAATCGGGCTAATCTTTCAATGTTCGTTTTCGTCGATATTTTTTCCCTTTTCACGCTCTGGGGGAGGACCGCTGACCGAGTGAGCAGGGACGGACGAGTAAGACGTTGACAGCGGGAGCCGCGGTTTTCCGCATCCAAGTGGAATCCAAATCACCATTTCGACCGGAAACGAATCGGCCTTGTCACCGGGCACAAGGAAGGCAACCCGTTTTCATAAAGGCTACTGGCACAACACAAATTTCACGCCGTTCTGCTTGCTTCATACTACGACAAACTGTTAAAATTCTGCAAAATACTGTGAAAGGATGAGCATATTGTATATTTACAAAAAGAAAAAAAGGAAAATTGGTTGTCTGTAAACCAACTTTACTGCTGATACGGGGAACGCAACGAAGGCAGAGAGAAAAAGAACACCAATAAAAGACAAAAGGAGGGGTTGAAATAATTTGCCAAAAGAAATAAAAGGCGAGAAGAATCAAAAGCAAGCGGTTTCCGCATGTTTGAGTTGAGCACGCGTGAGCGAACAGGGGCGGTAGTGAGTGAGCAAGAGACAGAGAGAAGGGGGGATAAAGACGGAGAGAGGTACAAAAAGGGAGAGAAGACCAGGGAAGAGAGAGAGAGAGCGCGATCGAGAACACACAGTAAAGGGGAGGATACGAAGGGCGAGAGAGGGTGGTCGGGGGGAGGGGGCTCCTCCCGGAAAGCTGACCGCCACATATCGACACCCAAACGCGCCCGACCGTGACTAAACCAATCGCAGCCTGATCCACTGCTCGCCAGCTCCGCCCCGCCCAGCATGCCCCACCAGGACCCACACATGCCACCGCACAGAGACCACCGTTTCCTTAGGAAACGAAAAATTCGGTTGGCACGGCGCGACGTCGTCTTTCCTTTTTCCCTCTTTTTCCCCCCCGAGATAACGAAGCCTTGGCCTGGCGTGCCGAAGGCCTCTGGCTTCCTCAAATCGGCAGCGATAGTCATGGCTTCTCTTTGACGCGCACCACATGCTGGGCGCGACGTGCGGGCGCGCGCGCCAGTGAGCCTCATGTGTGAGAGAGAGAGAGAGAGAGAGAGTGTGTGTGGGTGTGAGTGTGCGGGGCAGACGGCCGCCGGGATTTGCGATTTGCGGCGCGATTTGCGGCGCCAGTGTGAGTTAAGGGCCACAGCGGATTATCGCAACGTGATTTCACGCACTTTGTTACAATATTCGGGGGGAAAAAATTGCAACTGGTTACCCGTCCAATAGAATCACTACTGGAAAGATGCACATAAAATAAAGGCCAGCGTAAATAAAGTAATAACATTAAGTACTTTGCACTCATCCGTAAGTGCTATAATGATTCTCATTCAACCAAACACAAGAAGAGTCGGCAGCGCGGATAGAGGCCTCCTTTGCCGATAGTGCCCTTCTTTTTCGTCGTGAGCTCCAAGTAGTAAATGTAGTTCACTAGAGGCAGACGCACTTGTCATGATAAGCTTGGTCGGAGACCAGACACAGAAACACCATCCCACGCCGCTAAGAATCTCAACGTGGGAAAAAATACAGCGGGAAAAAAGTGGCGCTGCTCGTCAAAAAGAGAGACGGTCCAGTCGGGCCGCCCCCACCGCGAGCAGTCGCGCGGAAGAGGGCGCGGCGCTGCGGCTGATCCCGCCACCAGCCGCCAGGGCACGCGCTGGGGGCGGGCCAGGGGCGGGAGGGGAAGGGGGAGTTGGGGGCGGCCCGGGCGCCCCCCGTAGGGCAGGTGCATCGCGACCGGGAGAGGAAACCAAGGGGTACTTCACTACAAATCCAAGCGAACGCCAATTTGCATGCTTTTCCTTGACTTTTCTTGATAATTTTTCATCCTTCTGATTTTCTCTGAACTTTTTAAGTTTTGCATGTTACTTTTTTCCATTTTTTTCGGAGGGTGTACCCTGAATTTTGGGGTAAAGTACCCCTTGTAGGGGAATATAATACGTAGAAGAAAAGCTACTCACGTCCCAGGCGTAGCGCAGGTCAGCGGGTTCCAGGGTCCACTTGCCGAGGAAGGGGCCGTAGCGTGCGCCCTTGGTCAGCGGCTGCCGCGCCCAGATGCCGGCGTCGCCGCGCAGCTCCAGCTCGGCGGGCAGCAGCTGCGACAGCTGCGCCGCGGGCGCCACGTCGTCGCGCAGCCTGGCGACAGGGTGCTGCTGCCGCTGGCTCTGCAGGTGGTGCAGCTGCTGGTGCATCTGCAGCTGGCGGACGGCGGCCGCCCGGCTGCCCTCGGCCTCCTGCGCCAGCCTGGCCAGTCGGACGCGCTCGGCCTCGGCGCGGGCCTGCCGCCGCCGCTCGCGGCTCTCCTCCACGATCTCGCCCTCCTCGCGCTCCTCCTCGTCGTCCTCGTCCGAGGTGCGCAGCGGCGGGCTGCTGCTGCGCACGCTGCGCGCGGGGCTGGGCGCGGGGCTCTGCGCGGGGCTGGGGCCGCCGCTGTGCGCGGGGCTGCGCGCCGGGCTGTGCGCGGGGCTGTGCACCGGGCTGTCGGAGTGGTCCGTCAGGTGGCCCAGGGCGTCGTTGTGCAGCCGGTGGGGCGCGGCCGACATCACGTCCATGTCGGCCAGGGGGGCGTCGGCGGCGTGCTGGTCGTCTGCGTGAAGCTTCTCCTCACCACCTGCAACAAGAAGAAGGTGTCGTTGGTCAGGCGGTCCCATGTGTCCGCCACCCTCGGCGAGCACCCCGTCGGCGGCCCCCGGCGCGCATCGCCCGGTCCATCATCGAGCCCTTATCGCTGCTCGTCCAGTGTTTGCTCCGCTGGCCCGATGGCCGGGGCATGGCGCGACACTCTGCGCCGCGGATCACCATTCCGGCGT